CCAAAATAGGTGAGACGAAGTCTGGCCATTCTTGCTTCCAAGGAGCATTCTGGCTGCACTTCCTCCAGGACAGATCTGTTAGTTCTTTTAGCAAGGAATGGGAATAGAGGTGGGAAATGGCACCTCAGAACAAATGCAAAATTTTCTGATATATTTGTTGATCAGTTTATTACAAGGTTGAAAGAAAAGGTGATCAGGAATTCTCCCAGATTTCTTAAAATCTTAGGAACTGTTAGTGTCATGGTTGGAAAATGAAAGAGGAAAAAAACCCAAAATTCAAAGGGAAGAAATGAAGGGTAATTGAAAAAGCAACAGGAAAAATACTAATCACATATTACAATGGTTTAAATGAAATTTTAAAGATATTATATGCACGATTTCAGGGTTTTAGCCGCAAATGACCAAAAATGAATGAACTTAGGTAGATACAGTCCTTGGAGAGATCGATCATGGGCGAATAGAAGGGCTGTATATGCACAGGGAGACAATTAGGGGGTAGGAGTGCACGGAGGGAAGGACACAGGGAAGAGGTAACTATGAGGAGGAAGTGGGGGGGCTCTGTTGCATTGTGGGAAATTGCAATCAATGTCATGAGACAAGCTGTATGTGAGCTGCTGTATGGAAAGTGAATTTGCTCTGTAAACTTTGACCCAAATCACAATAAAAATTTAAAAAAAAATGAATGAACTATGTTGAGTTCATTGTCAAAACTTAAAAACTATGCTCTTCCTGAAAATTTACCCAAGTTCATATCTACTGTCAGCGTGTGTGAGAATGTTTAACTGACATGTTACATAGATGAAAACGCAGCTTCCACGTTGGACTCCTGTGTCCCTGAAGGAAATCAGGGTCAAGTTTCTCAGGGTGGCCGGGTCTGGTCAATTTCTCCATCCCTGGAGGTGGTGTAGGAAGAAGAGACCCGGGTATCTGCATGGAGAATGCAGGCATGGGCTCTGGAGGCTGGAGCCTGTTCCTTTACTGCACATGCCCTCAGGTGGCACATGGCCTTGGGCCTGGCAGGAAGCCAAAAACATGCCACACACCCCCTTCCCTGCTTACACAGCACTGTCTCCTAACCCTTCCTTCTTCCATTTCAGATCTCCAGTTTGGTGTAGTGAAAGCCAGTCCATTCCAGGCAGCTGGGGACCTAGGGTGACCATCTGAGACATCCGTCAATCCCAAGAAAGGATTTCAACTGCGCTGAGTATTGTGTGGCTCAGTCGTTATTCATCTGTCCCTGAACCGCCCAGTGCTCTGCTTCCACTCCCATCCTTCTTCCTGAAGTGACTTCTTGCACTTAGTGATGATGTTCCTCTAGACCTCCAGAAGGTGCAGCCAGGAAATGGTGAGTTCCAGAGAGAATTGGCTTTTTCTTACCACAAGTGTGTGAGGCTGGACATGAATAGTGGGGGGACTAGCTGTATAGAGCAGGACTGGTTACTCAATGAAGGGTGGCAGAGCCTGCCCTAGGATTGAACCTGTTGAGGTTTTCTGACCTTGTGCTCTATTCTTAGTGGGAGTTTTATTTCTGTAGAAGCATGTTTTTAGTATTTGGATACCTGGGGTCACTTTCCTAAGGTGGCAGAGCTGGAGCCATGGGGCCTTGGTGCTGCATGTTGAATGACAGAATCTCTTCACTGACCAGAACCTGAAGGCGGAGCAGCTCTGGCTGTGGAGGGTGATGACCGTCCAGATTCATCATTGTCCCACGTCAGTGACATGTTTTCTTAACTGCTCTCAGACACTGGAGCATTTTGCTTTTTTTTTTTCCCCCCTAAACGCACACCTCTCACTCTCACACTGTTTTAAGGGTTAGAAAAGGGGACAGGAGTCCATAGTTGGAGCCCTGAGAGTTTATGGGGTCCTGGCTGCTGTTCTCTTGACATCATCAAAGTATGAAGTCAGGCACAGTGATTCCAGGTAGGTCCTCTTTGGGGTCTTCACACTGATTTTTTATCCCCCTGGTGGGAAATGCTTTTGCCTTGAGGCTTTCAGCTGTGTGTTATTATGTGCCATCGAGTCGGACCCGACTCATAGCAACCCCTCCTTGGGTTTCCGAGGTGGTATCACTACGGAAGTAGATTGCCCAACCTTCCTTCCGAGAAGTGGATGGTGGGTTTGAACCACCAGACTTCTTCCCAATATGAGTCCTTGTCCTCCCACTATGCCTTGAGCTGCTATTTAATCTCTGTACTTTTGATTGTTTTCCATGGCCTGGAATTAGAATCTCAAATTAAAGTGTTCTCTTTTGCTAGAGAAGCTCAGTCTATGAAATGCATGTATTGAAATTCTTGGATTTACAGTTTGCAATGGAAGAAATTTTCTAGACCATGTGTTGTGTTTCTACTGAGAGTTTTTCAATTTCATGGATAGAAACTTCTGAACCACAGAGGAATACCTGTTTCAACCAATGTTATGGTTACTCTAAAGCTTACTTGCATCTACAGAAGGTTTTTGCAGACTCCTGTTACAATGCATCAGTCCTACCAGAACCCTAACCTGTTCAGTATTGTAGCCATTGTAGAAACACTGCCCAGAATAAAGTGGATGCATAGACTTGGATGTTCCTGGTGACTGTTT